AACATATTTTAATGCACATGCACATACCGAAATGATAACACATTTTGAAATGTATCTTACATGAGTATTTACACATCAATAATTTTTGTTTTGAGCTAACTTTTGTTCTTCACGTCCTTAATTTYTCAGAGGTTAGCAATGGATTTTAGAACTTCATAATTTACTTTTGTTTGGCTCGGTTTCTGACTGACGTGGGAAACTCCGTTGGGAAATTGCACCATCGTTGTCGTAATAACGTTAGAAATCAGTGAATAGCTGACCAAGCCCTCTTGCCTCGTCAAGGTGGATTTTTAGAGTGTGGCGATCACTTAACTTGACCTAACCTAATAACATAAGGTGTCCTGATTTGCGTATATTACTTTAATTTATAATTTTATATTAATGAATAATTTTTCTTTGAATATCATGTTTATATATTGCTGATTAGACTTTTTTTTGTTTTATATAAAAATAATGTTTGATGTAAATTTACAATAATCTATACTAGGTATATGTGAGCCGATTAGATTTCTATGCTTTTTGTATTATCTTTTTTCCGAAAAAATTTACTGTCAAATATTTACCACTCGAACTAATATTAATAAATATCGAAGTAATGAACTCTATCGTAAGGTTAGCATAACTTGTCTCCTTGTAGTAACAGCAGAATAAAGCAATTTGCTAATGATTGAATATTGATTATTTTTTGTCTCATAAAATGTTCACTTATCCAAAACTTATTAATAACTAACCTAGTTATATTAGGTACTGTGTTATTTTTCTTTCGATTTTACAAAAAAATCATCGATTAAATATTTATAAACGATTGTTTTTGGTAAACTGCATATATGCACTCGTGCCTGGCCCGTTTAAAATTATATATAAACATAGGTACACATAATCTACTATTCATAAAATTGCATTTTGTCAATCCAAAACACTCTCTCCCCCTTATTACGAGTCGTCAAAGAATAATTTGTCTTTACAATATTGTATTTTGCGTTAATATATTATTAATATGCTGTTTTCATAACAAACGAAAAAATAATATTTATCTATTCTGTTTATCGTAATGTTTCAATAGCCAAAGGAGCTACTATGCCATCTAAGTCCCCACAAGTTAGTCAACTACAAACCGTAAATGGGGCTGTAAACGGTAATACTCCACACTATGGAAACGATGACGAAGTGGTCATCAGTGGAATATCCGGACGTTTTCCGGAGTCCAATTCAATCGCCGAATTCAAAGAAAACCTGTTCACCGGTGTTGACATGGTCACCGACGACGATCGCCGTTGGCCAGCCGGTAAGCGATATTAATATACAATATTATACACATAATTATACCCACGCATTATTAGTATGTATGCACTATTTGGCTTGACATATGTATTACATTTAACATAAAGTGATCGTGTGAACGTATAATTTATAACAGAAAATTACCGTATGTAATATTTTTAGGTTTATAGGTTTATGTATAGTGATTGATCGCTGTGCAGGACACGACGATCGGTACCGCAACGATTATTTAAACGACATAGCACGTTGTGATGTGTTGAAAACAGATAGGTAATAAATAACTAATAAGTTAACACATTTAACTTGTTACATTAAAATAAAATAGATTGTTTTATTCGCACAAATCTAAACATTAAAATGATTAAACGCATAGCCGTATATAAGCTCGTCGGGATTTCGTCTGATGCTGACTGTCTTTCTAAAAAAAAGTTAGGTKCCCGTATATACACACGTTCTAACAACGACCTATATATAATAGCTACCTATATTATAATATTTTAGTCTTACAACTTGTTATTTTCACCTTTGATCTAAGCTTCCGTTTATTTTAGGTTTTACGGGTATATATTATAATGTAATTTATCTACATTACTTATATCACAAATTATACTAAATGTATAATTTATTGAGTATTGAATTTACTGCAGGTGGGTACTGTATACGAGTCTATTTAATACACTTATTGGTAATAAGTAGTGGGTACCTTAATAAATTTATTTTATTTATTTATATTTTTGTAAAATAATTTTTAAGGATTATAGTTAATGATAGGTAGTACAAACATTTTAATAACTAAGAAACAATTCATTCGAATTTTGAACTGTAAAGGTACATCAACATTTTCTAAAACATTTTATCCACTAAATAATTTACAGTAAAAAAAGGAAGTCTCTTTGAGTAGTACAAAAA